AGAGTTCTGCTTGACGCAGATAACTCAACGCCTGTTTGAGGTTGCCTAGATTGTACAGACTGGCGGCCATTTTGATGTAATGGTCCAGAAAGAAGACAATAACCTCTCTACTTCGCTTGAGAGAATAATGTGGTGATTCTTCCGAGGGTTCCTGAATTATAATAAAATAGGAATGTGTAAGTAAAGTTAAAGAGTTAGATTATTCTTTTAAAATTATACTTACTAGGGAAATTCCTATGATATTGGACTCTAGGATGGAATCAACTGAAACTTTTCGTTCAGGTGTGAGATTCTTCACGACTACTGTTTCTCTTCTAGTTTTCTCGCGTATCATACCCTCCCAGTCGAGTTTAGTTCTCCGCGGTTCCATCGGTTTCTTCCGGACGGGCGCCATTGATTTCGTAAGGATCTCATGCAACTTTTTCACATCTAACTGCGGAAATGTCTCATCTCTATATTGCAAATTGCGTATAGCTGTCATAAAATGTATCAGAGGTTTATCCCTTGTTCTCGCAAACATTTCCAACGCGTTTCTAATGTGTTCCGAGGGAATATTCTCGAAATGATTTCGTTCTTGGACGAAATAATCCGGAAGAGAGCTTTTGCTCAACCGCGAACAGAACGAGTTGATCATTTGTACCAAACGCGCGCCCATTCGCGTATCGTTAATCACTACGTCTTTCTGTAGCTCCCAGAAAAGGTGGATGACTAGATGTCTGATGGTGACGCCATTGTGTTTTGTCTTGGGTTCCACGAAAGTTTTGAGTATGACCAGCATTAGCAACAGCGTTCGCACATGCGTGTGTGTGAGTTGCTGTTGGAGATATTTCTCCACCTTGGGATGCGCCAGTTCCCACTCCAGATGACAATTGGGATTTGTTTCACCTTTATATTTGGGTATGAATCCTCGCGGGATTGCAAGCCGATCCATGTGAACGATTTCATTCAACATTTCTTCATTTGGGAAGACGCGTCCTTTGTGTGTCGCCACTTGTGACTTTATGTAGTTGGATTTGATTTTGAGGAAGTATTCGTATGCGCCCTTGGGTAGTTGCACAGCTGGGATGATCTCCCATGATATATCACGACATTTTGATCGGCAGTGGATGCTGTCACAATTGAATCCAGTTTCTATTTCACTACTGTCCAATTCCAACAGTTTGGCAATGTTGGGCCAGTTGCGGTGGAATTGATCTTTCATTGCTTTGGAATTGACAAAGTACTCGTGGATCCAGAGATCCTCATCGTCCAGTGCGTCGTAGTTACGACGTTTGACTTCGCAGATTGGATACAGGGACTTTTTTATTCGGTTCGGATCCATTTTCGGCAAAGGTCTTATTCTCATTGCTTTGGTTATCCGGCCGTATGTTTCACTTCCGTCATCAAGTGAGCAGGTATCGTCGCTGGTGGTCATCGAACTGGAGTTGGAGGAGATGGAGGTTTTGAATTTCAAGTCTTCTATATACTTCAAACGTACATAACCTAAAAATATTTAAATAACTAAACAGTTTTTAAAGATTGCTAAATTCCTTACCTTGTCTGTGTTTTTCAACAACTTGGGCGGTTAGTGATGGTCTATCGATGTTTGCATAGTGGTTTTCGGCGTCCGCAACCACCTGAATGTTTTCGTGAATGACGAAAATGCGATTTGACACCAGCGGGCTGACTTTACCCTTATTGACGCCGTGACTTGCACAGAACTGCACGTGCTTGTTCACCAATGACAACGCGTCGTCCGGCTTGAGACAAGTGAGAAAGAGGTCCTCGGTGAGACTCAACTCCTTCACGCTGATGGTTTCGTTTGGCGTGGACTCGATTAATTCCCTGCAACGCAACGAATACGAGATAATCACAATTGAGTGGTTTATCGGGATTAATCGAGTATTTATGTAGAATGTCATGTTTCCTAGAAATCGTTAAGCGGGTCTCTACTCACTGGTCATAGTTTTGAAAAAACATCACCGAAAACAGCACTTGATTTAAAAGAAACATCTCGGGTTTAGTGCGGTACTCTTTACGCAGTTTTTCAATCTCTTTACGCGTGACCGTATTTTCTATTTGATTAAGACTGATGAAGTAGTCGTCCACGGGGCCGGGTCCTCGCTGGGCCCGCTCTCGCGTTTCTTGCTACCGCTGCTGCCCATGACGACGGCTGCTACACCATGGGACTTGACGGTTGCATCTCAACTGACGCGCAGGCGGTGTTCGCACGCTTATCGCGGGATCTCGGCTAATCTAATCAATACTATCGAATCAAATTCCACGCGGTTGTTACGCATTTTTACACATGCGATCCTTGAGGACCTGGTGTTGATTGTGTTTTTCTCAGGTGGAATCCGTGCAATGGACTTTTGACAACATCGATGATATTACATCTCAAGGGGAACTTAAACCTCTAGCGGAATTCCTCTCCAAGAAACAATTTGATTTGGTTATTAATCTACCCATGCGTAATGGAGGTGCCAGAAGGGTTTCCTCGTTTATGACCCATGGTTATCGCACCAGGCGTCTTGCTATAGACTATTCTATTCCTCTGGTGACAGATGTCAAATGTACCAAGTTGTTGGTCGAGGCTATTCGAAGGGTTGGAAAGACCCCACCCGCAATGAAAACCCATTGTGATTGCATGACTTCCCGAAGTCTCATCAAACTGCCAGGTTTTATTGATACGCATGTTCATGTGCGTGAACCAGGCGCAACTCACAAGGAAGATTTTGATACGTGTACAGCTGCTGCACTTGCTGGTGGTGTTACCATGATTTGTGCCATGCCCAATACGAATCCTTCTATAATCGATGAGGATTCTTTAATGTTGGTGAAAAGTTGGCGAAAGAAAAGGCCCGGTGTGATTATGCGCTGTTTTGGGAGCCACCGAAGAAAATTACTCAACTGTACCGGATTTAGCTGTGGAATCAGCTGGGTTGAAGATGTATCTGAATGAAACCTTCTCAACGCTCAAATTGAATGATTTAACTGTGTGGTCGAAACATTTAGCGAATTGGCCGAAGAAATGGCCGCTTTGCGTGCATGCCGAGAGTCAAACAACCGCCGCCATTTTGTTGTTGGCGAACCTCCATAATCGTCCGATTCATATTTGCCACGTGGCAAGAAAGTCGGAGATACAGATTATCAAAGCTGCGAAGGAGAAAGGTCTCAAGGTTACATGCGAAGTGTGCCCACATCATCTATTTATGTCTACTGATGATATCCCGAGATTGGGTTTTGGTAAATCTGAAGTGCGTCCGGTTCTAACTTCACCCGAAGATCAACAAGCCCTTTGGGATAATTTGCATATAATTGATTGTTTTGCAACTGACCATGCTCCACACACGGTGGAAGAGAAGAATTCAGAGAAACCACCACCTGGGTTCCCAGGTCTGGAGACAATCCTACCCTTATTACTCAATGCGGTCCATGAAGGCAGAATGACCATTGAGGACATCATAAACAAATTCCACAAGAACCCAAAAAGGATCTTCAGCCTGCCAGAACAACCTAATACTTATGTTGAGGTAGACCTTGATGAGGAATGGGTCATACCCGATGCAATGCCCTACAGTAAAGCAAAATGGACGCCATTTGCTGGTAAAAAGGTGCGTGGTGCTATCCATAGAGTAGTGCTGCGTGGGGAGGTAGCTTATGTTGAAGGCAAAGTCCTTACCCAACCTGGTTATGGTCAGAATGTTAGGGAATGGGACAATAAGAAGATGATGATTGAGGGTCATAATCACAGTCGACCATCGTCTGCTTTAGAAAGGACATCATCTCCTATGCCCACAATCCACCACGATCTTTATAATGATGGTCAAACCAATGAGATCTTTACCAAATTACTAGCGGAAACTCCAAAGGTACACTTTGCTAATGATGGCTACTCTGATATAAGGATGAATGCTGTGTCCCCGTTACCAGTACCATATTCAGGACGAGCTAGAACTGAAAGTTTCAACGAATCCATTGCTTCAGCCACAGCACCACATCCGCACCCACACCACCTGGGTGGGAAACATATCCTGACAGTTGATATGTTCAACAAGGAGCAACTGAATGACATCTTTAATGTTGCACAGACATTCCGGATGTATGTTTCCAAGGACCGTTCATTGGATCATATCTTACGAGGAAAAATAATGGCGTCCATTTTTTATGAGGTCAGCACCCGGACTTCCTGTAGTTTCTCCGCGGCTATGCAACGTCTTGGTGGTAGGGTGATCTACATGGATGAGACTTCGTCATCTGCTAAAAAGGGTGAGACCCTTGAAGATACCATTGAAGTCATGGCGTCGTATTCAGACGTTGTGGTACTTCGACACCCAACACCAGGGTCAGTATTAAGCGCGTCCGAACACTGTCGTAAACCTTTGATCAACGCAGGAGATGGAATTGGGGAGCATCCATCACAAGCCCTACTTGATGTCTTCACCATTCGTGAAGAAATTGGTACGGTTAACGGATTAACCATCACTTTGGTAGGGGATTTGAAGAATGGTAGGACTGTGCATTCACTAGCAAGATTACTCACTTTGTATAACGTTCAATTGAGATATGTGAGTCCTCCTAACCTAAAAATGCCAAAACACATTGTTCAATTCATCAAAGCCAAGGGGATCGCACAGGAAGAATTTACCAGCTTGGAGGATGTACTGCCGGATACTGATGTTTTGTACATGACTAGGATTCAACGTGAAAGGTTTGAATCACAAGAGGAATATGAAGCAGTAAGTATACAACATAACCTCAAACATAAAATGGTTTTATTTTTATTTGTATGCTTTTCTTTAGGCTTGCGGACATTTTATTGTAACACCACAGTTGATGACACGCGCAAAGAGGAAGATGGTTGTTATGCATCCTCTGCCACGTGTGGGTGAAATCAGCCCTGATTTTGACTCCGATCCACGTGCCGCCTACTTCCGGCAGGCCGAGTGCGGTATGTTTGTTCGCATGGCCCTCCTCGCGATGGTCATGGGCAGATGTTAAGTTTTAATAATTCAGAAATATATTGGGGAATGATTTATTGTTCAGCTATAATTCGTAAATCGTATCCACGACTAGATCTTTCAAAATTCGTTACAAATCAGTCTTGGGCTTGACATTCGACGATTTAATAAATAAACATACAGGGTTTGTAACGTGTTAATGTTACAATAACGAATGTTATGTATTTGCATGCATGCAGGCGATGCATAACCTCACAACTTACATAACCTATAAAAATAGTTGTTGCATGGTGTATTGCTTAAAATTACATCACATTATATTTAGATATAGAAGTTTATATATCTACGTTGACAGTTTCGAGAAGTTTCAGAATTGTATTTGAGTTATGGGATTAAATTTTTTTACGTATATCTTTAAAATGTGTTTTAACCTAACCACAAACATGGCGATATGTATTATTAATAAACCTAGCGTGATAAAAATATATTTTACACAGGCGGTTCGGACATTGGAGTTTGCATTTTGTACGCAAAACTTTCAGTGTCTTCTTCGATGGTTTTGCCAAGGTCGGACCTTTGAATCGCATCTTCTTGCGGCGTTGAACGTGATGCGCGTGCTTTGCTTGTTGGAGTTCTGCTAATTTTCTAGAATTGATACAAAACCAAAAAACACGTTTAACTGCGTTGTTTTTGCAGTTTCGAGAAACTATTTGCTAATCCTTGTAGCGATATAGTGATTAATCATAAATCTTTATCGTATTATTATACTGACACGTGGGATTAACATTACGCAAATAGTTAATCTTTTAATATTTTAGTTTTTTAATGAAATAACTTACTGTTGGCGACAGTCGATGAATAATGCGATGAGAAACATGATGATAATTATAGCCAAGGCACCAAAGACAATCATAACCAAACCCCAGACGGTGCCATCATCTTCCAAGTATTTATCATTCGGCATCGTCGAGGTTAACGGTGAATCCATTGATTCTGTAATTAAAATTTTAATTTAACAACAACAACGTTAATATTGCGTTTGTTTTGTTTGTGTTATATCACAATCAATTCGTGCAATGTTTTATTCATTTGCTCATTCGGATGTTTGCCAATTTAACAACGCAGTTTATGTTTGTATTGCAAATTCAAGTATTGTCGATTTGTCGATTGTTGATAAGTAATTAGAAAGTGAAGTGCAGTAATGTAGATACGATTATTTACATAGTTGTCAGCGTGAGCAAGGTCAGATACTGTCTGCAAATATATAATTACTATAAATCACGTTTAAATGCAAATTTCTCATATTGTTGGTTATGTTATGCATACGTATTATTCCCGAATTATATACGAGTGTTTGTCATTGCATCATTTATTGTGTAGTGTAGTGAAATGAAGGGCAATCGACATTGTTTACTCAGCAAACAAAAAGTTTCCAATTGCACTTGAATTCTCCGAGTTCATTCCCCATTATTTCGTTAGTGTTTACCGATGATCAATACTATCATGTTTGTTAAAGTATAGACAACCAACGTGACAGTTCTTCAATTCTTTTTATTTTGTACGCGTTTTAAGTTTTATTTCATGAATAAATGCGTCAGTTCACAATTCAACAAACTCATGTCTCATATTTTCGTGCGTCATGCCATTATCAATATGAAAACGATAAAAATATCGAATATTTAACCGCCTACTAAAAATGAATGAAAACTAACCTCAAACGCGATAGCGCAACAAGTAAATTCAAATAAATCATCATGTAGTTTTGTATCAGTTCTAATATCAATGTTCATCCGCATATTTGCCGTGATAACCACAAATATTTGATAAAATCATCGCTGATAGTTATCCGTATCAAAATTCGCACTATTTCCAGTGAAACAATGAAAAAATAAAAAATAAAAATCGTTTACAAGTAAATACCGCCGATTGAATGCGAATTATCAAGTTAACAACAGCCGTAGTTACTGCAATTGTTGGTACGTGATGTTTGTTGTTTGTTAATGCGGTGATTTCAGCGAGAGTGGAAAGTTTCGCGGCGACCCACATACAAATATGCATCGATATTGATAAATTAAATCATAATATAAATTTGCAGTTAAAGTTTATGCTGATTTTAAACTGAAAAATTGATAATTTCTGATTTTCATCAAGTAAATCTATAAATACACGAAGATCAAGTTCAAATCTTGCTGGGATTCATTTTAATACGAAGATTATCAGTGCTTTAATAACGTTAGTCATTAAATTCGGTATTATTCGGGGATAAAATGATAAAAACGAATTTATCATCCAAAATAACATGTTTATATTAAAACTGCTGATCGTGTGTTGGTTTAATAACTTTGTTTATTATTAATATTTATTTTACAATAAATAATAAATAAAAACGATGGAAATTTACACGTACGGTGTTGCTAGGGTGGTCTAACCTATGTTCTGTACTTGTACAGCAACTCCAGCATAGAATTTTGAAAATTTTGAATTTTTAGGGTTAAAAATCATTAATTTTAGGTTAAAAAAATTATAATCTCTACGATTTTAAACGTATTTTACGTTCGTGTTAATAAAAATCACAAATTCGCTTTTTTTCACAATTTTTTAAACAAATTTACAAACCGTCTAACTAAGTACTAGATTTACTTTCTCTAAATATAAAGAGATATTTCTTAGAAAATTTAAATAAATTGTCAAAATGACAGCACAATAGACTTACCATCAATCCATTGTGGACTTCCGTTCGCCAATTGATTTTCTATTCCTAGCGCTCGTTCCATTTCGCCGAGTAGCACGACTGCACCGCGGAATTAAATGCGATTAATTTGTTGCTATCACAGTCACACTTTGCCCGCACCAACTTGTCTACTTAAACTTGTATATTTAAAGTATTTAAATGTAATCAATCAATGTATTAGTACTAGCAACATTTGAATTCATGCTGTTTTAGTTAAATGACATTGAAACGCACGTGTTGCACACTTTTGACGTCCATCACAGGCAAACTACAGATGATTCAGTTCCGTATTCGTGTTTGTTATAAATTATTAGATTATTACCGCTGGTAACACTTGTTTTAATTAAATTACATTCAAGTTATATAAAGTGTAATTGCATTCACTTTTCTTTTGTGTTTTTTGTTGCTTTTGTTGCCTGTTGAATAGTTTAGTGTTCGGTCGTGGTGAATCAGTGAATGTGCAACAATACAACTTAGGTAGTTGAGCAGTGAGTGAACAGTAAGTGAAACTTTTCACTTCTCGCTTCTCGCTACCAGCGTAAATGGTTGAGAAGCGAAGCGAGGAACCACCGCACAACCGACGAACTGCTAACGACTGACAACCGAATTCTGATGGTCATAGTTAAGTTGGCGCTCAGTCGAGTTGACTGAGTACTTCTACCACAAACGATGATTCGACCGTTTTCAACTGACGTGTCGTGTCTTCTTGGTAACACTACTTTACTTTTCCTCTGCACTTTTAGTCTACTGTGATGTTTGCTACGCTTGATCTAATCTACCATGGTGAGGTCAATCGTGATTTTTGAATATTTTTACTTGAAATAAGGCTAAAATGTTGTCTTTGAGTGTTTTATGTTCTTCCGGTTGGTATAGAAACCTCGAAATTTAATATAGGGTGTTTTAATACTGAATTTTATCTTAAAATATTGTTTATAATTGGATTCTATTCGTCTTTGACATAGATTATTAGGTTTTATGCTTGTTCTTGAAGTGATTATAAGATATAATGTGTTTATTATGTTTATTATGTTTTTTAACATACGTAGACGTGTTTTGAATCTTTTTGAAGCGTTTGTAATATGTGTAATCACGTATGCGGTGCTGAAGGATGAGAAATGAGAAGCGAGAAGCGAGAAACGAGAATCTATACACTAGAACATACACAAACATCCGTACCACCCGTACCAGTCGCTACTATTCATAGAAGCGTTTTTATGCTTGCATTCAACTTCAATCAATATGAAATATATAACCGGCATAATTAAATAATTAAAGCAAAATACGATAGGAGTGTTTGTTGGGTTTTTCTATGCAAGCTGTATTATGTTCGGTTGATAATTTAGTAAAAGGCGAATGTAAAATGGCGAATTTATATTCTCTAACGCCATCTGTCAACTTAAAATGGAAATGCAAAGAACGTAAAAGAAAGTGAAAATAAAAGGGATTACAGCCTTTTCTAGTTCTGTTATCATTACTACTGTTGTGATCCATGGGTTAAATTGATTTTATTGACTGATCTATAGTAACTAATATATGGAACTCAAGGCAAAAAATGTTATTTTTCTCATAATTCAAAAAATTGCCTGCAAAACACAACGTTTCTATAATATAAAAATGAATCGCAAAATGTGTTGGTAAGCGCATAACTCAACAACGCCTCGACCAATTTGGCCAATTCTTTTTTAAACATGTTCGTTGAAGTCTAAGGATGGTTTTTACGGGGAGAAAAATTCTAATAATGGCCCGGAACACCCTAAATATAGCCCTTTTCTATAGAATAAAAGTTGGCATTGAGATTCAATCATAGTTATAGTTAAATAGTTGAATCCGAGATGGCGCGCTGAAGTGCATTATTAGCAATTCTTTATATAATTAATTTCTTTAAAATAAAATTGCGAATCTTCTTGATAGAATTGTCACATACTATGTCTAGAACAAGAGAGTAAAAATAAATTACATTTTTATTAAACACGAAGTCGTGGGCAAAAACCAGTAAGAAATAAAAATAAAGCAATTTCTGATTTTTTATTTTTATATATTAGGTAAAGACATTCACCTTTTGAATTCTTAGAAAATATCTTGAAATGCCTCTTAAAAACCGCTATTTTTATATTTCTGCAAATTTAATATCTTGACGCAGAAGTATATTAATCAATCACAGCTTATAGAAATGATATTCATCTTAATCAGGTATTTTTATAACTCCGAAACATTAATCCATTCTAATTAATCTGATAATATTCCCTGAATTATGATATATTTAATTACATTTCCATTAATTACTTAAGATTACTTGAAACTTATTAAAATTTTATTTTTAACTATAAATGTACTTTACAATCCACAATAGTATTATTCCTATAAACTTTAAAGCCTAGGATTATTAGATTATTTACAAAATTTTGTTTTACAAAGCGAATTTGGTTGTTAAATCATAAAATGCTCCAAATATTCCTAATATTACTCTTATCAAGCCTTTTACTTAAATATGTACTTGCAAACTCGTCTTATATGCGACTTAGGAAAGTACTAAATTTATATTGCACATTGTTCCATATAATTAAAGCTTTTATTTCAATTAATTCCAATCAATCTGAGTCATTTTCGAGTATCAATCAAATATTCGAAGCGAAATTCTCGTGAAATTCACTGTTTTTATTTATATAAATAATACAAATAATAAATAATCAAATAATCGCATCCGTTGAGTTAATAATTTTGTTATTTTGTAATATAAAATGAATCGCAAAATCTGTTAGTAAGCGCATAACTCAACAACGCCTAAACCAAATTGGCCGATTATTTTTTTTAAATGTTTGTTAAAGTTCAAGGATGGTTTTTACGCCAAGAAAAATTCGAATAATTGTCAGGGAAACCTCTAAAGACAGCCCTTTTCTATAGGATAAACGTTGGCATTGAGATTCAATCATAGTTATAGTTATATTGTTGAATCCGAGATGGCGCGCTGAAGTGCATTATTAGCAATTCTTTATATAATTAATTTCTTTAAAATAATATTGCGATTCTTATTGATAGAATTGACACATACAATGTCTAGAACAAGAAAGTAAAATCAAATTACATTTTTATTATACACTACCGGGACGAAATCGCAGGCAAAAGCTAGTTTTGTAATAAATTAAATATTTCATGTGTTGCACATCCGAAAAAACAAAACACAAAACTTGTTTAGTATTTTGAGCAAGAACAGTAGACTGTTGACATGTTGCGTAGTCGATTTCATGTTCTAACTTTACTATTAACATTTCTTAATGACACTGTTACTGATTACGGCGTGTAATTAGCTTATCTATAGCCTTTGTAGAATTTGTACGCTTTGTATGCGTCGTATCCATGCAGGATGCCCACTATTCCACCCAACATCTGCAAACAAACACATGATTACAATTAATTAACATTTTTTACAGTGTTTGAGTTGCGGTATAAACACCGAACACGTGTCTTAATGTCGCCAGTGACGTAACAGAATTCATATTCATTTAAAAACATTCGACGATAAAAGTTTATTCATTCAAATGACAAGTTATGAACAATATGAACAATCAATAAACTTTATTAAACTCCATTAGAGTATTCAGAAGTTCTCCGAACCGATTACCGAACCATTGATAACACTTGAAACGTATTTAAACACTTTAAATCTAAGTGTCAACGTCACAGACAACATCAGTATGGTCATTAATAAATGATTAAGATAATTGTTTAATAATTTATAGTTGAGTGTAGTTGAAACTTTTATAAATTAATAAATTATTACGTGCGATGTGATATGGCGGTTTTGTATTCATTAAATGTAAATCAGCACTTGGAGACATTATTTAATCTTGGTACAATTTTTGTTTTGTTTTTATTTGAGTAGTATTGTAACGCGAAACGCGAGAGAAGCTGTAACATTGCGATTGCATGTAGAACAAGTGATAAGTAGCTGTTTTATAGATTTTAATCATTAGAAGAATTATTATGTAGATATTTATTGTTTTATCGAGTGGATTCGAAATATTTTTGATAAAATTTTTGAATTTTTGAAAAATTCACGGTTTAATGTACTGGACTCATGATACATGTGTGTTATGAAAGTTGCCTATGATAAAAACAAAACTTTCAGTTCAATTCCTGGGTAAAATGTTAAAAGTATAAATATTAGATAATAGAAGTTATTTATTAATACTATTAGGAATTTGTTATAATACTGATAAGGTGTAGTATCTTATTTTGGTGTAATACTTACATATGCAGCTGACATTGCAGGATAAACTTGAAAATAAGGCACGATTATGTATTGAGGATACAAAAAGGTCGTCACAGCGAAAGCGAGATAAAAACTCGAGCTAAGATAACTGAAAGATGCCATTGCATTAAAGAACAGTTCCTAAAAGATTAATTAATTAATTAAATAGTTATCTATGTTTTTGTTTATTTTTATATTATTACGATACTTACAAATAATGATTGTCGAATCAAATTAAACGAATTCGTTGAGAATATATAACAGACCAAAAGTAGAAAACTCGTCATTAATCCCCAGGAAACTGTTGTTAGGAAACCATGATAAGCTGTACCCATTGTAGCTGCATAGGGAAGACCAAAATTTATTGCTAGACTTTGACAAAATGATGCTAGAATCTTTAAAGAACAAAAAATAATTATTTTTAATATAACTGCAAAATATTTATATTTTATAAGATATTTTATGTTGAATTACTTACAACTTGAACAATTTTTAATATTCCATCTTCAGATCGTACAAATCCTGTGTTTAAACACGTGAAACAACTGCAGCAGCAACAATTAATTCCTGTTGATGGTGCGTTTGTTGCTCTTGGTGAATTTGCCATTCGAATAATTGGTCCTCGATTTGGTGAAGCCAACATTTTAATCACAATTTAATTATTCTAACTTTTAAACTTTAATTTGAATTCTCTTCCCTTGAATGTGTGTTCTGCTCTGCAGACACGAGCCAAACTGTTGCAGGCTGCAGGCTGGAATAGTTTCATCTCGCTTGCAGCTTCCTTCAGCCTATATTTGGGTTGAATTCTGAAAGCTTCAGCTCTGCAGGAGGTAAATGTGTCGCTCGTGCCATTCACACGCGTGCGTTGCGTTTTTATTTCAGGGTGAATAAACACTGCAGGGTGAGACATACAAATTACAGTTATAAATAGATAGCATTTGAAAGTTTAGTCTCGCTGCAGGGTTTTGTGCATTTCATTTTGATGATGTGGTCGGTAGGGTCGTCAACGTCGTCAATGCCTGCCATCCAGCAGAAGCGGTGTGCTATTTTTGTACATTTATTGCTTGTCGCGTCATCAACGACAAACGCACATTCAGCATACGTATAATTAAATATCCTGCTGGGGAATTTTTTGCAAGTGAATGCATTGCTAAATTTATTTAATTGCTGAAGTGTATTAATGGTTGCATATATTAATGTTAAATGAATAGATGTGAAGTTAAGCGTATTAAATTTCATTTAATCTATAATATGAGAATGAATTGCAAGATCTGTTGGTAAGCGCATAACTTAACAACGCCTAGACCAATTTGGCCAATTCTTATTTTCAAATGTTCGTTAAAGTTCAAGAATGGTTTTTACGGCGAGAAAAATTCGAATAATCGCCGGGAAAACCCTAAAGACAGCCTTTTTCTATAGGATAAAAGTTGGCATTGCGATTCAATCATAGTTATAGTTAAATAGTTGAATCCGAGATGGCGCGATGAAGTGCATTATTAGCAATTATTTATATAATTAATTTCTTTAAAATAAAATAGCGAATCTTATTGATAGAATTGACACATACTATGACTAGAACAAGAGAGTAAAACCGAATTACATTTTTATTAAACACCACCGGAACAAAGTCGCGGGCAAAAGCTCGTGTTTTAATAAAAACGTTTGGTTTAAAATGTCGTTAGTGTGCTTTCCCCCACTACTTCTTGCGGGTAGACCTGAGGAATAGAGTAGTGCGTGAGTCGTTTAGCAGTTTAGTTTCAGTTTTTTTAGGTTAGATTCTTTTTCTCTTCTCGGTTCTTCAGTTTTCTTGCGGTTTCGAATGGAAAAATAACGTTTTCTTTGATTGTCGTTCATATAACGACGTAATTAATATTAATTAATATTATTAATACTACTCAATTGCTTAAAAGTGATAAATATACCGTATAAAATAAAGAATAAATTTTGAATTAAGCTGATTATTGTAATAAAACATATTTTATGGTTGGAATTTCACTAGAACCATAAAATGATTTAATAGTTAATAAATAATACGTTTTACGTTTATAAATATTGTATATTGAATGAACATTACAACCGCACATTTAAAATAAATAAATCATAAACAAGATTAGTTACAATTACTACAAATATAGATTAAAATTTACAATATTCCAATTATATACGTCTAATAATTGTTATACACATTTTTTTATATAAATTTGATAAATAATTTCGATTGTAGTTAATATTCTGCATATTTTCGAAGACATTTAATACAATTTTTCCATTAATTGACTTTTTATAACTTTTAAATCAAAAATTCATAATTTATCAACAATATAAACATAACTTATATATAATTAAATACAAAATAAATTTATTAAGCTGTTAGAACACATAGTTTTGTCAAATTATCAAAATATTGCTGTTTTATGCTCCACATTCTATTGTTTGTAGTATTTATACCCGTACGTCACTTGCAGATATAATCTCAATAAGTTTATAAAAAAATATGTCTGTAAAAATTTGTAATTTGTAATTTTTAAGCGTAAAGCAGTTTATTTATGATGAGTTTTAAGTCCTATAGATAAATATTTTCTTGCTTGCTTGTATAAAGTAAACTTGGTAAAAAATACATGGTAAAATTCAGGCACATTCAATTCTTATTAATTTTAGGGTGTAAATTTAAGTTTTTTTTGTTTGGTTTACAAACCACGGTATGATTTGCGCGCAAAATATGCGCTGAGAACGTAGAGGATGCTGATGACCAAACCAATAACCTAAAACAAATAAAAATATGCATGGTTTTGTGTTTTGTGTTGAACATATGCAACTAAACTTACACCAGCAGCCATGTACGGCTCATATTCGCTGTAGTTTTTATTCCATCGATTCACCTCGACAAGGAAGGTTACACTGGCGGCAATGTACATAATGGCAGCTGCCGTATGATAAACAACTTCCTAAAATTCATAAAATGTGTTTAAAATAAATATTTTTAAAGAAAAAATAAACTATAATACTTACAAAAATAGTTTTGGATATAATCGAAGCGGTTGAAATGGAAATTATGCACGAAACTAGAATGAGAAACGTGCCGACGAGGAAAGTCACCGCCATTAGCAGATAAAAAGTTTCTGCGGTGTGCGAAACAATCCTCGCTGTTCTATAATAGTAGGAAATCAATCCTACGACGACTATTCCCAATAGCTAAAAGTATACAAGAAAAAACCTGTAGATTTGGTTGCCTATACTAATCATACACAATAACCACGAATATACATTGCATTTAAATTTACTTTTACTTAAATTAGTCGTTGTCGTAATAATTTAGGAATCTCAATGCTGATTTCATCAATAAACAATAAACAATTTTATGGAAATTTATTTCGCTCCGGGCAAGGTGTAAGAAAATGATACGTGACTTTGAAATTCAATGAAATTGAAATTAATTACAATATCTTACGATTTATTTATTATTTCTCCGTCAATATCAATATTCATGTATAAATTTTATTGTTTTCTCTTCCTCTACGACGAGAAAGATGCTTCCAGACGGGTAAATACTCAAAAATAAAAAAATATCTGTCTCGTGATATCATTGAATAAACAACATTCTTATGAGATCACTATGTATTCCTTGTTTATTGTCGTCATCGTTTCTCGGATGAATTATCACATCATCGACTTGATCATCGTCATCTTTGATGATTTATGATGCGATTTAATAATGTTATCCTTACTAATATTATAAATGCGTATGTCCTGAAGTTTATCGTGCTTTCACGCAAAAACTACTTAACAGATCATCATGGAAATTTGTACACATATTCTTAGTGGTCCCCGAATGGTTATAGGCTACTTTTTATTTAATAAAAATAATTATTTTTTTAAATAAAATAAGGAAATTGTTTAGTCACTAATACCTCTGCATCTGGTTATTTGACTACTTTAACGCCATCTAGCATTCCAGCAATGAAGCTCACACCTAAGTACTATAGTACCATCACACTGTATTACCGACAGCTACGTCAACATCAAATCCGTACACATATTCTTAGTGGTCCCCGATGGTCCCCGAATGGTTATAGGCTACGTTTTATTTAATAAAAAAATTATTTTTCAAATAAAATAAAGAAATTGTTTAGCCAATAATACCTCTGCATCTGGCTAATTGACTACTTTAACGTCATCTAGCATTCCATCTAAAATTTAAAACTTTATTGCATGTAGTAATTTTTTCACATAGATAATCCTAGCCAAGCAGGGAAATATACATTCTTTCTATCATTCCGCTTCAACTATGTATAATGATTTCTAATATTTATTTGATGGATTCAACGCGAGCGAAGCCGCGCGTTAAAGCTAGTTTCTTAATAAATACAAAAATAACACATTTTAATGTATGCAACTTATTATTATTCCAATGATGTTTACTACGCATGCGCAGTAATGAGCCAAACAAATACCAACTAAATATATGTAGTTTCTCGAAAAAATCAAATGCATTTAATAGTTTTGTGTATAAATGGCGTCCAGCGGTGATGGCGACGGCGGGTGGGTGTTTATTTAGGTCATTCGCGGCATAAAACAAACGTGAGTGTTTACACGAAACGACATAAAAATAGCACGCGCGCTGTTTTCACCAAACCAGACACACACGCATCACAAGCATTCCCGAATTTTATTTCTTTCTCATCGCTTTTATTGGTTGCGGAAACTAATGCTATTTTCATTAGATTGATTTTTATTTGATGAAGAATTAAACTGCAAATTTCTCAATTCATCTGACTTAAAATATGCAGAACGTTGCTGGAAATTGCGCGCGCGCGTCCTTAACGCATTAAAGCTGCTTAACGACGAGTGTGGCGCAAGAAATGATATCATCGACTGATTTTTTCAAAGTTTAATGCAGTGGCATCATCAAATACATTAAAATCATACCGAATGTTTAAAATCATCAAAATTTTAACTAAAACTAAGCATTTTCTATTAATTTTCATTAATTAAATGTAAAAGTCTCAACATTTTACATTTGTAACTATTAAATTGTATAATTGATTGCCTATATACATAATATAAGTAACAGTATTATGTATTTCTATTTATGCAACAACCACTAGAGTTATTTTAGTACCGATTATGCATGTTAACTTAAACAATCGACGATTGGTAAGCAAAATAACACGTTCGATCGTGTCATGCCAAATACGACAATGTCGACGAGTTCTTCGTCGAGACTGGGTCAATGTCAACGCATAACGCAGACATTACAATTCACAACAATTACGTGTTTTATTTTGGCAGTATTTTTGTTAAACTTTAGAAACTGCATTCCACACTTTAGAAAACTTAAAATTTTGTGTATTTGTTTACCTACATTAAATTAATAGAGTTTAATTGAGGTTACTTACGGTTTGGAAGAGTTTTAATAATCCAGGCCATGTTTTCAAATACCCTGTGTTGATGATAAGAGCAGAAGTGGTTGTTGTCGTTGTTGTTCTTGTAACTGTCACTGAATGAGACATTTTGACGTCTGCAACATAAAAAATGTCAAAAATATAACATAACCACGTTTTTATAATATTTTAATGGATATTCCTAGTTTTCAGCTAGTTTTATGACGGACTAAATTTAGACGTTGAGGAAAATATTGATTTTTGCTATTTCCACACGTCTCTGACTCATATTTGATAAAATAAAAAGTAACTCGAAACCACTTTTGATTTATTTATGCATTCAACCGTTTTCTTTATTTGTATTTGATTCTCTTATCAATAAATATCAGTATAAATATTTTACAAGTCAGATTACTTACGTTATTTCAACTTTACGATGACTCACACTTGTAAACTCCTTTTCGGTGTTTCACACAATTATTCTGAATTTGCGTGGTGCGTTATCAGTACTTCCAGTCGCAACTGAATCACATACGCGAATGAATGAAGTGGAATGATTCGCTAGTCGCGACGAAATCGACTCATTTCCCGCAGGAGGAGAAGGAGGAAAACCTTCATTCGCGAATCACTCTCTCGGCTCTTTTTTATGTTGCTTGGACTCCCTCCATCGTGAAAACAAGATGGTTGCAGAGCGCGCTGGCAGTGCATGTCTGTGAGTCAGATTGGTCAAGTTGTTCAAGTGTTTCATCGATTATTACGTTATGTTTTTTGTTTTGGAAACAAACAGTATAGCCGCGCCTAGAATCCACGCACGATGAGATATTTTTAAAAGTGCACACTATAGTATTATGCTAACATGCGTATTAGGCATTCACAGTAAACCCACGACGAGGTGAATTATGTTTACACGTTTAGATTATAATTGTATTACGTGATTGCTGTATGTAGGTTGATTTTATGGATGAATTGAATAAAATTTCGAAATATTTAGACTGAAATATCGAAAAATTGAAACTAATTTGATTTATAATGACTTTTGACTTGTTTTTTTAATTAATTGGAAACCACTAGACTAATTGCGGTTACAAATTAATTGCATTTTGAGGGAATACCAATGGAAATTCCTAATTTTAAGTTTAATTTCCGTTAAAGTTAGATTTTCTTTATATTGTAAGTTTAATATAGGCAACCAAGTATACACTAAAACAATACCAAATGTTATGAATTGGAAATATTGACTTTAACATGAATATTAATGTTTGACGCAATTCTACGGTTGTAAAACTAATTTACACACTGCATCAAAGCTAAATTAGTGGAAAATGTCAAAACTGGAAATATTATCAGTAAAATATGAATTTAAGCATATTTCACTCTGTTTAGTATGTGACTACCTAAAATAACATCACATAAATGTTTATAAACTTTTATTTATTTAAAAACATAAAAATTTGCCATTATTAGTACAAATCAATTTATTTTTATTCTGATTCATTCATCGGATATTTAGATTATGCAATAACATCAAACGTATTTTTGTAACTTATTAATAACTTCGTTTTTTTGCATTTAAAGCCGTACTTCCTTTCCTAATGACTCACAAAGTACACGTCTTGCTGTTACTCTACGTTTACGTCCATGCGCCTTAACAATTTAATAAAATAATCTCTTTTTATCTTAACTCGGGTACAAGTACAAAATCTGTATATAAATTACACGCGTTTACAGTGATCTTTTAAACTGCACAACAATCGACAATGTGAATATTTTATAGAAACATGGTGTGAAAACATTAAATTAACATAGCTTTAAAACAATACAATTCAATACAGTATAATATAAAATACAACTAGAGTTTCCTTTTGTGTTTTTGCAACGTACTAAATCAACTTTATAACATATTGATATTTCGATACTTTTTGAATGACTATATTGAACAATTTCAGTCATCACGGTGATTTCTAGGTGCTTATTTTAATCTTTAAATATTTTGTATTTGTATTGTTTCACGGTTTGACACATTGCGTCGGCATTGAAATTGAGTTGCGCTCAAAATTCCAATTGATGTTTGCGGTTTTTGCGGTTGCTGGATTATTATTGCGGCGTCCGCGTGCTTTTCCATTCGATGTAGAGGAGATAGGCACCGAAACCGTACACCAACGTGTTGAACAATCCAAAACACTAAACAATACAAAAAAATATTTATATGAAGTTTAAATTAAATGTTATTATGGTTGCCTATAGTTTTTACACTATACAACCGCATGTGGTGGATTAACCTAAAATTTTTCTTCGTGTGATCATGAAACGACACAAAAATTTATATAAACTAAAATATATAAGAATATAAAAATAATCTTACGCCTGCTGCTAAGTTAACAGCCCGGTATCTTGGATAAGCTGGTGTCCACACAGCCAATTGAACGATGAACGCAATCGCGTACAAAACAGTGCAGATTCCTGTATTTACCAGTTCCTAAAAGTAAGATTACCGAAATTATACGTGTTGTTATCGTTATTTTATTTTGTTTTGTTTGTTTGCTTACCGATAGTAGCCAGTCAATGTGAAGATTTAGTGCTTCGCGAATACCCAGCAGGTAAACAAACGTCCAGATGAGCGTGCCAATGAAACTGATTGTCACGACGAAGAGGAACCAGTGTGTGCCTGACAGATACGCTGGAGAAGCCAACGACATGCAGATTATTCCAAAGACCTGTAAGTAAAAAACATTTACACTATTCTAAACGTTATGAACAAAGGAAATGAATTCAAATTATGATCAACAAACGCACAAACGAAACGGAATGAAGTAATAAAATAACTGTTTTGGTTCGCATCGGCGAGCATACTAATTTCGCTACGGTTTGCTGACGCACTTGAGCGACGAAAATAAATTGTTTTAAAGCATAACCTACTTTAATATTTAAGGTTATGTTATGTTTAGGCGTTATGTTATGTTTAGTTTTGGTACGAAGGTGTATGTGAAGTTGCATACATTCCAATGAGTTTCTAAAATCATGATCATTCCTCTTTAGGAATTATCCTCACATCTCTCAGTCGATGTGAAAAAGAAATTAAAATCGACGCTCGTTTTGGTTTGGTTCACTTTTTCGACGCTTCGATACGCCGAATACGAATAGCCATTATGCGTAAGTCGCGTTGATCGGTGCCATTCGAGTTGGTTGACCTCTTCGGCGGCCAGCTGCAGAAAACAACACCTTGGCTATACTTGGCCACTTATCGACCGGGCGATTTCCAAGTTAGTCGAGTCGACGACGCCGCCGACGGTGAAATCAATCTGGTCAAAGTCAAGCGAGCGGCCAATGCACAGGAAATGAAAGAGTTTCATCCGTGATATATGTTTAACTGCACTCAATTTGCTTTACGGAGTTAAAAATGCATTGATTGCTGAATTACAGGTGTGGTACTACTCATTACACGTCGTTACAGTTCATATAAAGTATTATACAGTACATTGCAGTAATAAATACGAAGAAAAATGAAAATATATTAAGCCGTAGGCAACTTTTATTACATTTAAGTAGTAAAATGAGTATAAATTGAGTTAAAATTTGATTTTGTTGTGACCAGTATATTTCTTAATGGCTGTTATTGTTGTTATTGTGGAACTACATTCTTTCGCGTCGTAAACATCGCGATTATCAACCGGAAGTCGATCGGCAGCAGCCGGAAGCTTCCGAAATGGGTAATCAAGCGTGACACGCAAACATTTATCCACGAGTTAATTATTAGTAATGGCTATCACTCAACGAACCTTTCAAGTAAAATATAGTCTATATTTATAATATAAAAATGAATCGCAAAATCTGTTGATAAGCGCATAATTCAACAACGCCTCGACCAATTTGGCCAATTCTTTTTTAAAATATTTGTTAAAGTCCAAGGATGGTTTTTACGGCGAGAAAAATTCGAATAATTTTCGGGAAAACACTAAAGACAGCCTTTTTCTATAGGATAAAAGTTGGCATTGAGATTCAATCATAGTTATAGTTAAATAGTTGAATCCGAGATGGCGCGCTGAAGTGCATTATTAGCTATTCTTTATATAATTAATTTCTTTAAAATTAAATTGCGAATTTTATTGATCGAATTTTTACTAAAAATAAATATGAGTAATATATGCAACCAATGACACATTTTTTTGTTTCTAATGACTACCTAAGTCAAATACCTAATAGGTAGGCAATTTATATTAACATATCTTAAAGGCAAAACCTATTTCAATGAATTTTATTTTCCACTTTCACATTTAATAACTATTTACGTTTACTAATTGAATATTGTCTATTGGGTTGCCTATACACGTATGTAATTAATGAAATGATTCTAAAAAACAGATCTAGGTTAGTGTGATACACGTTGAAATTTAACTGATCTTGAACTTGATACGTGCGGTGAATATCAATTTTGATCTAGATTTCATTCTGTCAACTCAAAAAACAGTTCCTATATTTTTTCATTTTATTTTTGTTATGTCTTCCGAAATGAATGACTCGTTTGAGCGTTGTGCGTCTCGCAATCTCAGTATTTAATTGAACAAACTCGAGAAATCGTAAAACGTAAGCTGCACTTGCTCCTTAATCCACCGTCATAACAAAAAAAAAAACGAGACTTAAAAAGTAAAAAGCGTGAGTAATGATGAGCGATTTTCGTGTCTCAACAAATGAGTATGGGCACGCATGGTCGCCACTCGTTTCACCCACGCACAATACGTATGTATGTTATACAAACTACTCACACATTTTGATATAATTTAGAATGGTTTGCCAAGAGTGCCAAGTGTGCCAAGAGATCATTTTCGCTTTCATCGTTAGTATTGGTGGCACTGCTCGTATTTAGTTTCAATTCTTCTGCTCACAATCTAGATTCCAGATTGTTCTCAGTGATGTGCTCTAAATATAGATACATATAAGCAAAATGGCGGAGAAGGCAAGATTTGTATCACCATGTTTGGTCGGCGGTCGTGAGTGTAGGATACAAATAAAATAAAACATGAATAACATCATAATATGGTTATATCTGTTTTCAAATTGAGATTTTGTGAAGGTGGGTGGAAATTAATTCATGACATAATTACTTAAGGACACATTATTACACACTATAATATAAAAATTAATCGCGAAATCTGTTGGTAAGCGCATAACTCAACAACGCCTAGACCAATTTGGCCAATTCTTTTTTTAAACGTTCCTTAAAGTCCAAGGATGGTTCTTGCGACGGGAAAAAATCGAATAATTGCCGGGAAACCCTAAAGACAGCCCTTTTCTATAGGATAAAAATTGGCATTGAGATGCAATCATAGTTCTAGTTAAATAGTTGAATCCGAGATGGCACGCTGAAGTGCATTATTAGCAATTCTTTATATAATTAATTTCTTTAAAATAAAATTGCGAATTTATTGAATTGATACATACTATGTCTAGAACAAGAGAGTAAAAACGAATTACATTTTTTTAAAACACTACCGGGACCAAGTCGCGGGCAAAAGCTAGTATATTACTAAAAATTGATTTTTTATATCTGCGGAATGAATTGTACTTTATTTTTTGAATTTTTAAATATTTTTGAGTGCAGAGGTAACATTAAAACTATTATGCAAGCTCTAAAGCTCTATAAATTTATTTTTATCGTTTTGAACATGAAATACAAAAGTTAATTTTGTTGGTTAGGTTACTTTTTAATTGCTTTTGGTTCGGATTACACACAAAAAAGCACAAAATACAATAAAAAGCTTATTTTTCTCTTGATACAAAGATAACCAATGATTTCTTAAAACTTATAATGTATGCAACCAATAATACGCATTTATTCGTTTCGGTCCATGATACATCAACAAACGTGTGAAATCTATTAGTCATTTCCCAATTGCAAACTAAAAATACTAAATGCTTTAAATTAATAGACATAAAGTTGTTTTCCACAGAATGAATGATTGCATTATTAAAAATATCACAATATTTCACCACGAAAACAAAATTGTGTAATTGGTTGCCTATATTACAATAATTAAACTTTCTCATCGGTATACTATAATATAATAAATATTTCTTATTTCTTTGTTTCGTTTCTCTGCATTGTTCAAATTCACTCGCTCCAAATGCGCTTCATTCAATGACTGATTCCAGCAAATGAATGAATGAACGAATACCGTTTGCAAGTTAAAAATGAAAACCGAATTATGATAAACACAGCAGAACAACACGAAACGTTTAACCTCAAATCAAATTTTAGAAACTTTTCACTTCACAGTTTTCTCTTTTATTTTATTTTCTATTTTTTTACTGAATAAATACAAAAAATAATAATTTAAAACAATGCCGAATCTATTTTGATGTTTTATGGCTCGTTAAATCTTTCAAACTCATCTCGACACTTTTAAATTTTATTTTTGGTGTCTTTTAAGCGACCTGCTAAAAATAACCGAATAGAAATAAAAAAATAAGAAAAGAAATTTGATATCTTGTTATTCGACTTTCAATAAAAGTACTTAAGTGACTACTACTTGGCAAACGTTGTTTGCAGAGTGCGTTTCATTTGTTCCCGTGGTCGTTTTTAGCGTTTGGTAACACGAGAGCAACGTACCGCTAGCCATGCATGCTAAAAATGTCCACATGTGAGTATTATACACGTATTGTGTATTATTCGCGTGCAACAAGTGAAAACATCAATGACCCATCTTCAGCGAAGAAATTTTACTTAAGCAAATGATATTTTTCGTGATTTATAACCTCTAAAATACGGAAGTATTATTAAAATTACATGAATACATGATTTAAGAATGCAGCGATGATGTAATCACACTCATGACATAACTGCTTGTTGCAACGTGTTTTTCCTTGATTTTTATTTTCGTCTTTACGTGTCCGCTGCGTTAAATCAAGTTAAAAATGCGTTTACTTCAACGTATTTAATTTGTCAACTAAGAATCTACCTATTGTTAGTTACCAAAACCTTGAGCAACACTTTTGTTTACGTTAATTACTTAATTCGTTAATTTCAGATAATTAAAACACGTAAAAACACTTTACTTCAAGTTTATTCAGTTGTTGCGTACTGATTGTACATTTGGTTGCCTATCTAAATAAGAATTTAATAATTATCTTGTAAACAAAACAGAAAAGACTTGTTGATGCGTAAAATGTGCTTGAATGTCAAATAGCGATTATTATGTGAATATCGTGCATGAGGTGCGGTGTGTTGTGACTCGCCGCCATTTTGTTTCCATTGCGAACACGCACAACAAGCGATTCGCCACGAACTCGCGCATGCAGCGCAATAAGTAATAAATTCATATCCTAACTCATTCGCGATTTTAAATTCAAAAAGTTTATACCAAGTGTTCCCAAATTTTAAAAATAAAAAGCCCAATAAATTAATTTTATTATTCAATGCAATAATTTTTATCACTCTGTGTTTATGTTATGCTTTTATTTGTGAAATGGTAAGTCCGTAATAAAACTTCCACGCGATTTATAAAACGCGAGTAGGCGAAAGGTAATTACTCGAATATTCGATTCACTCTCAAGCTTAAATACTTAAATTACTCGTTGTGCTTGCAGAGTCACAGATTGGCGTATGTCGCATGTGTGAGATGTGGCAACACTGGCAACGCATTCTTGCGCTCGCATTCCGCGCGTAGTTTTAACTGTTGAGTTAATTGCAAGCTAATCAATTCAATTCGAGGCGAGTTTAACGTCTAGACCTGCGAAACTTGTGCTAAAACGGTTCAAGCGTTGATCTCGTTGATCTTTTTATTGATTGAAATAAATAACTAATGAGTCATTATAATGCATGGGTGTAATTTGGGTTGTCTATCATCGAAGGAGTTATAATCATTATGGTTATTATTGTTTTATATGTTGCTACAGGTGGTTTTATGTTGAATTCAATAAAATTTATAGATTTATGAATATTGGATTAATATTATTATAGATAATAATGAGTAAAGTACTTGATCTACTTGAATAATGAGTGTATGTATATTAGGGTGTCCGTTATTTCCCAAAATGGATTTTATTTTTCAGACGCCCCCCAAACTTTTAGATTTTGACCTAAAAAAAAATATGAGACCCATTTCAGCCCTTAAAATTGATATTAAACCGTGCCTAAATCATAATCCTTTTCTCATTTAAATAACATGGGATTTCCTGACGTTTTGCATTTAATTTTTTATCTCCAAAGTAAATAAACCTACAGCTTCGACAGAGACATATTCTAATGCAAAATTTTACCCTCTACAAAAAAGATCTCTTTGGTTTTTTGCTTAAAAACATTCCGGTAAAAGTTATTTGCGATTAAAGTTATACACATAGTTTATAATCTCATTTACAGCAAATTCTAACTGCGCCACCTATAATCAATTGATCGAAAATAGAGTTTAAGTTACAATAATCGCGTATCGACAACGCGACTTAATCTTTGAATAATTTTTACAGGGTTGATTTTATCGAAAAAAGTATTCAAACCTTTTGTGTAGAGCGTAAAATTTCCAACAAAATATGTTCCAGCGGTATTTTTAGCTATATTTGTTCCGATAAAAAAAAAATAACTGTAAAAAGTGCAAAAATCCCATGTTATTTAAATGGGAAAAGGATTATGATTTAGGCACGGTTTAATATCAATTTTAAGGGCTGAAATGGGTCTCATATTTTTTTTTAGGTCAAAATCTAAAAGTTTGGGGGGCGTCTGAAAAATAAAATCCATTTTGGGAAATAACGGACACCCTAATGTATATGATGTCAGGAAACATGCGCGCCTCTTGCAGATATTTTGTAAGTTAGTAAATTGTGTTTTAACCTCTCATTCGTTTTTATCAATATCTATAATATAAAAATGTATTGCAAAATCTGTTGGTAAGCGCATAACTCCACAACGCCTAAACCAATTTGGCCAATTCTTTTTCTAAATGTTTGTTAAAACATCGTCGACAAAAATTCGAATAATTGCCGGGAAAACCCTAAAGACAGCCCTTTTCTATAGGATAAAAGTTGACAACGAGATTCAATCATAATTATAGTTAAATATTTGAATCCAAGATAGCGCGCTGAAGTGCATTATTAGCTATCCTTTATATAATTAATTTCTATAAAATAAAATTGCGAATCTTATTGTTAGAATTGACACTATCGGGACGAAGTCGTTGACAAAAGCTAGTTATCACATAAAATTAAGTTTTTACAATGTGTGTGACATCATTTTCGGCTACCGAAGTTTCTATACTTTCCACAAGTGTTGAAATATGTTTAAAACTACATACAAATTGTATAATTTTGAATTTTTGTTTGTAACCTTGAAATTTTGATGTGCAACACCGAAAAAACGGCAGGTATTTTAGTGTACATTATTTTATGCATTACATGACTACCTAATTTGTTTACTTTTATGTTATTTTTCGACGATGACCAGCGTTTGAACTTGACACAAGTTTGCAAGTATTTTTAAACATTACTAATACCAATAGGTCAATCAAGTGTGGTCACTGCTATTTTTAATTCTTACCGATAATAATTATTAAAAACACAATTTAAGTATAATATCAGTGGATTAACTCAATATTTTTGTTTCATTTCATTTTCAACTTTCAAAAAAATAATTTATTTTTTCCATGTGCTATATATTCTGTTGTGCCGGTTTAAAATTATTTGTGCAACACACGCGTCACAACGTAAAATATGTGGGCGCATAAATAAACCCACATTTTCGGAAATGTTTCGACGTTGCGTCGCGCCGTTCATATCCTGCATAAACAAAAAATGATTATTTCTTAAAATATGTGGGTTTTATTTAAATTAATGGCTAAACTTTTTTAGTGTTAGGCTGCGAGTAAAATATTTGTAAAATATTTGTAATAAACTGTCAGATGTCAAAAATTTACAAATATAAAATGGCTGATTTTATGTATTGAGTATATTTGCATAGTTTGCATACTTCTGGATCGTTTTATGTTTTTAATGCTTTTGATAGAGGATAAAACTCGTTGTGGCGTAGTGGCGGCTTGATCATTAGCACTATTAACAATATTAGCACTTGGCAATGCGTTGTATTAGGTGGACACTTAACTCCGCAGTGTTTTTATGTTTATAATTCTAATAATGTTTACGTGCAAGGTCATTCGAATGTACAATGCAGTAATAGTTGCATTCGCTACAAAACAAATAATAAACAAGAAGGCAGGTTTCATATTAGTACCTATGCATTACAATTTTTCAAAATTTAAATTATAGAGATTTTATTATATAACTTGCTTTTGCTAGCGATTTTATTTTAAAGAAATTAATTATATAAAGAATTGCTAATAATGCACTTCAGCGCGCCATCTCGGATTCAACTATTTAACTATAACTATGAATCTCAATGCCAAATTTTATCCTATAGAAAAGGGCTGTTTTTGGTGTTTTCCCGACAATTATTCGATTATTTCTCACCGTAAAAACCATCCTTGGACTTTAATAAACATTTAAAAAAAAGAATTGTCCAAATTGGTTTAGGCGTTGTTGAGTTATGCGCTTACCAACAGATTTTGCAATTCCTTTTTATATTATAGATACATAAAAGTATAAATTATGCATTATTAATTGTCTGCTCTATCTTAAAAAATTAAAATTCACCCATATCTCATATTATTTCGGAGTTTTAATTGTTTCAATACAATTTACTGCGAAATTTTATAGTTTTACTTTAAATTTTTGCCATAAAAAAATTAAAACTAAATTTTTAATCAATTTTTTCCATTGACCATTAAATTTTTTTATTACAAAAAAGCTTAATTAAACTTTAATACATTCCTAAGAAATTTACCGCATTACAATGTCAATATTAAGCTTGAAGTGATCACAAATGTCGCATCGCTTGCGTCTCATCAATATGCAGCGATGTCGATATCACTATCATCATTACTCGAATACCACGAACGGCGGAGTATGCGAAGCGTACAGAGACTCGACGAATACCGAATGGGCTAAGTAAGTGTAAATAATACATTAGCAACAGGCACACGAGTCCGCCGAACGAACGTGAGTGCGACTCGCTGAGAATTAGGTTTCCATCACGCATCTGTCTCTCTGACAACTTTAGATTCTTAGTATCGACACGCTTCGATGGCACAACACACTATTTTACATTACACAATAAGAAAATCTAATATCTTATTACGAAAAATGTTGAATAATTGTGTATTTACACAGGTGTGCGAGAAATTGTTGAGTTCACCACACAGGAAAAATTTGTTTCGGAGTAAAATTATATTAAAAGAGTAAAAATGTGTTTTTCAAAGGATTAAGTTTTTATTTGAGAAATTAAACAAACCGGTGCAATGAGAATGAGAATAAGAATGAATATGATTAGTATAGCGTTCGGTATTTATACCGCAAGTCAAACATTACGAGTTTTATGATCAAATATTGAAAATTTTTAGTTTGGAAAAATTTGAGCAAAAAATTACAAGACTTTTATTATTATAAAACAATGATAATTTTCAATATTCATTTTATTCTAAAAGTATGATTAAATTAAGATCAGTTAATAAATAAAATTAATTTGAGGCAAGCTCTGAGATAACGTAAAAAGCAAAGTATTATTGTACGATTACAAATGACAAATATTAAAAAAACGAACTACAGACAGAGAAATCATTGACTTCACATCCTGTAAACCCCATGTTTGTGGGAATAAGTGAATAGTTGTGTTAAAATTTGTTGTTTAACAAGAACACACAAAATCTACCCATTTTTGGCGGGTTTTCCACAAATTTAATACAAAAATCACGCAAAATGTACAAATAAAGATAACTAAATTAACCAATTGCATTTTAAGCAATAGCCAATATCTCTATAGGTAAATTTTAAGTGGAAAGAAATTTAGAAAGTTGTTGTTTAACCCATGGCGCTCACGCGCGCACGCTGCACAAATCTTAACTTAAGACAAACCATATACAATACAATATGTTCAAATAAAAATAAAAAAATTTACCAATTCAACCAGTTTGATTTGTCCGGGCATGGTGCGATAGTAATCCAAATTGATCTTAAGCCACGAGAGGGCGCCCGGTTGATTAGTGCCATCGGGTTTCGCCGCGTTGTTGTTGGGCCCTTGGTTGGGCTGCACAGTGACCACCGTTTCCGTCATCATTAAAACTATTAAAACCGTTAATACCCGCACTTTAGTCACTCTGTGTTGTAACCATTAAATGTTATTGTTTTGCGTCGAGTGCAAACGTGTAATTAGCAGCAGGTGAGCGCAGGTGTGTGCGAACAGGTAAAACACTGCGAAGAATATTGAGTAAAGGTATCCACGTCCGCGCAGGTCGCGAGCTCGACACGAAATTGTGTACCGCGAGTAGCAATGTCGGCGAAAGCGCGAGGAGAGGTGTCCCCGCGGCTGCCGCAAGTCGAATAAAAGTGGTGGGTTTGGTTATGCATCGCTATAAGTACACATCGTACACACTTACACGTTTACATCGAAAGAAAATGTATTTTTAATCGTTTACTAACCTACTAAACAAATTTCCACTTAAAATTTATATTTTTAAGGTTAAAATTCATTGGGATGAAATTTAAAGGTTATACTGTCCAAAAACATTTTTTTACCAAAAATTTACTTAAAATATCATAATTTTAAGGTTAAAATTCACTGGGACACAATTTTAAGGTTATTTCATTTATTTTTGTGGTTATGTTATATATAAATTGTCAAAAATAATTTTTACCAAAATTTCACTTATAAATCCAAATTTTTAAGGTGAAAATTCACAAAATCTGATTTTAAAGGTTATGTAATTTATTTTTGTGGTTATTTTCCATGTCAACTGTCAAAAAAATTCACCACAAATTACTTTTACATACTGTATAAAGTATCATACACTAAATATTAATGAATTTTCCCATTTATTTTTCTTACGGGAACAACTTCATTCTGTTGACATCGTCAGTCACGGTCTCCATCATTATTTTGTGATTTCTCGAGTCTAATTTATCGATAATACTCTTTGATGATTATTTATTCCACCAACTGACACTCTTCTGGGTAGCAGTTAAATTTTAATTATTAATCACAACCGCTTGGTTTGGTGTTCAATTAATTTATTGATTCATATATTGATGGGACGAATCGGAAGGAGGAAGGCGTGAATTGACGTGAATATTTTAAGTTGACACATTTGCCTAGTTTTTTATGGCTGGGCATGAAGAGTTGCTTGAACTTTTGATTAGTGTCACTCAAACTAATATATTTAAGATGGTAAATGTTCTAAATTTTGAAACGCGTGAAAAATATAACTTGTGTGATGTTATGCTATGCAATTATAAATGCTTGTAGGTGTATGGTTGGTTGCATAGCATTGCGCAAATGGAAAGAATGATTTATTGCGGTATTATCACTGAGTATTGTCGATAAAACCATAAAACTACGAATAAAAGTCATTATATCAAGAAATTTATAGTGCTTTTGTTTTGGTTGATAAATTTTTATGCTTTTATGCATTTTTGATAGGATTTTTGTTGGTTTTTGCGTATTTTTGATGATTATTGTCTCAATAAATGCGTTTTATTATGTGTGTAATTAAACACACCTAAGTAAAATCGCCATATTTGACTTTTCAATAAAATTTTCCTAAAAGAAACAAATATTACTCCTACTAAAACTTTAAAATACAAGTTTTCTTCCGTTTGAAATAATGTGTATTTTGTGTTGCCTACCTTAGCGGAACACATTTAATTTTAAAATCAAAACGAACAAAAAGATCATCGCGTTTTAACCTGCAACTTTTAAAACACCACTCAAAAAGCAATGTATAATCATTCCAGCGGTTAATTTCATTGTGATAATACTTGATAAACAACATAAAGTAAGTCTATTTTTCATTCTCATAAAATTTTTGTAATAAACACCTTTTACTTCTCCTTTTGTTATAATCACATAGCCACCTTCTGGCGCTGCTTCACGGTGTTCTTACCGTTTCTGCGTCTTTCGCTTCTTTGTCCGAGCCTAAGCTTAAGAAGGAGGTGAGAGAGCTCAATGTTACCTGTTACCTTCTATTACGGTTCGTGCCAGTTGCCTCTCGGTCGCAGTGTGCTACTAAGATCAGCGTCTTTCGCTCGCAACGAAACCAGCTTCATTTCGTAATCAAAACTCGTGTCCGACTACTGAGTAGTATAGATAGTATCCAATCAAGCGGGCGATTGGTTGGCATTTGAGAAGTTTCTTTGTTTCTCGGATCAAGTACGTAATTGATTGCAGCGAATGCAAGAGGCGCATGAAAAGTTCGCCATTTGCAGTGAGAAATGTGTCAATCTGTCAACACCAACGCGGAAGTTGAGTGTGAAATGTTTAGTTAAACTGGAATAGTTTAAATACACCACGATTAATAATCAAAAGGAAATTATATGTAAGTAAGTAGTAAATTATAGTAAAATTATCGTATAGCAACATGACATACTTTTTTTCTTTTATGCGATATAAGCAAGTTTTAGATAAGAAAAAAGTAATCAACAATAACTTCCAAACTCAAAAACATAAAATAACAAGTTTTGGTAGAAAATGCAGCTTTTTTAAAGAAAATTAATTGGATTAAGTGTTAATCCAATAAATATTTTATAACTTTTGTTATACTTCATTCTTTTATCTTCACTAACGGTGATAACCCGGTAACTGGCAACGAAACAAAACAATAACAGTACACCATCAACACTCGACACACAAAACATGTGCCTGTCGAATGTGAACGTAACGTAATCGGCTACGATAGAATAGAACTATAGTAATATTCGTAATAACGCTAGTAATGCTACAATTTTATTACTTAACGTTAACGTCGTTTCATCGCTTTATGTGGAGGATATACATAGTTGTGTTGCGCAAGAACGCTAGGGAATTTAAATGTCAGCGAATCAGCGATTGCACGATTACACGAGTGAAAATACCTCACCGTTTTTCATACGCTGCTCATAGATACGAAGAGACTCGTATTCTTACTCGGAAAACAATAAAATTTATATGTACGAGTGCATGTAGTGAGTATTACTGTTGTTCGTGCTATTGAGAGTTTAATTTTCAACATTTAAGGCATTTTCAACGTTGAAACGTTCTCACATTCTCAAGACATAATTATATTACAATTATAATCATACTAACTTACACTAACCCAGAAGTATAACTGACTGAGTCATGGGAGTGTCATGTAGTTATGAAACATTAATCTGGTTTTATGTTGAGGTATTTATTTTTTGCAAATTTTGAGTTATGACATTTAATTCCATGTGTGATATTAACGCAGCTGTTACAATCGATAATTTTCCTGAATTCTTAGTTGTAATGTAAGTTTTTAATTGAATCATCTTTCTTGGTAATTTTCCGATAGTTAGCATCTGTTTAAGTCTAGTTTATTTGCTGAACTCAGCTGGTTGGCGTTCATTTGTGCGCATGAGTCGAAAGGAGTTTGATTCCACATAAAATTTGCATTGTTCCACGCTTTTTCTTCGCGTCTCGACACGATTTTTTCGTGCCGGTTAGGTAATCAAGTTTCTCTTCGGATGCTACGCTTCTTCTCGCATTTTGCTTCATGCCACACTTACTGCGGACCACAATAACAAACAATCGGATTGTTTACCCATACATTACCTGTACATTCAGTGTATATTCAAATGATATCGCTCGCATTGAGATAGTTTTATTTAGAGTAGCAATAATCATTTGATATTTAAGTTATTAAAATCAGAGCATATTTATATTCACATATTTAAAGTAGGACAAACATTAACAACAATAAGCACGGAGATATATTTTATTTATATTTGTTTGATTGATAGTGCTGATGAGACCTCTAATGGTCGAAATAGCTATCCACATCAGGCTTGACAAATACTTGCATTGACTTGCAATGGTTTAGTAAAAATATCGTTTTGGCGATATTGTGAGGGTATAGCGTACAGTAAGTGTTTACTTAACTTTACTTAGCTAATTGTCTTCATCTATATTGCATGCCATAATTCTTCGTATAAAATTCCCAACATTCCTAATTACTTTTATTACCCTTGAAAAACCTAATCACCGAGTCGGACGGTTTGGCACGCTGTATCTAGCGTGCGGTCAGCAGCAGATGGTCCGGCTCGGATTCCCAAAATCCGATGGTCAACTTGCCCTCTCTTCAATGTCACACACTTTCTTCTACCAATCAAATCTATCGCTTTCTTCTGACTTCCAAATTTCTTGTCACCACCCATCAACCTGAAGGGTTGCTGGTGAGTGACAAGGGTGTAGGAAGATCAGTTATTCCACACACTTCTTAAGCAACACTTCTACAGTACTTCTTACTCTACGCTTCTTCAAGAGTTGGTAAACCTTAGCATTATAATAAACATTGTTCGTGATAATTAAACATCGTGTCTTTTAACACTCTATCAATTATAACTCACACCGATCCCACACGGGTAACTATACTTGATCTAATTGGCAATCTTTATTCACTATTTATGCACTTTATCCTTATCTCTTGCCTTGCTTAAGTTAACTTGCAATTAGTTAAGTATTGCATTCAAATTTAATTGAATAACAAATTACGCAGCACTTTTGTTTAATTACTCGCGTTTAATTGTGTACCGTTGTCTGCTGAGTATTTAATTAATTAATAGTGCTCTGTGGCAAGAGAATTAAACGTATGTACGTATGTACTTACGTTGCATAGAGGTGCAGGTCATGTGAAGACAAATGAAAGGTAAATACAGATTACCGGAAATAAACTTTTACTTCGAGGCCGAGTTTTAATCATTTTTTCATGCCCAAGTGCGTTAATTTTTATAATTTCATTATTTGAATTGAACTAATTCTCATACAAAACATTTTTTTGGGAATCACTTATTCAATTTAGTGAAATAGCGCGGAAAAATAATGTTTAATTCTTAAATAAACAAATCAACATTAAAAAGATCTTGAAACATAAAAATGTACATAAAATAAATTGAATTAAACCAATTCTGGTAGAAAACTAGCTATTTTTGGTTAATATTAATGAAACACAGAAGATACCTACATATCTATTAGAAGTTATGGATTGGTTTTTAAATAATTAGAAAGATTTTCGCTTTTAATATTTTATTTAATTGACTGCACCGAAAAGAATACCGCTCTCTTACAAGTTCTCAATCGAACTAACTAACTTAAAACGTTGCAAAAACTTAAAAGCCAAACCTTTGACTCATGCGTACAATACTCCTATTGTATACCACACATTAAGACTTTATCTTTATACAATAATAAAAGTATTGGATAGCCCTGATTAAATTTTGTTATTTTGCCGGTGTTATAACGACGCATATTCCAACAATATCAATAAACATAGAAAACTGTATAAGAAACATTCCTAAACGTTTAATTTTAATAAATAATTAATTTTTGCTTTGCAGTTTGCAATAAAAATGGATCTCGTAGAACAACACCATAAAACACTCCTTGACTGTCTTCTTAGGTTCCAAAAAGACGGCACATTCACCGACGTCACGCTGATAATCAACGGTGACGAATACAATGCCCATCGCACAATCCTCGCCTGCCACTCACAATATTTCCACGCCATGTTCCACTCGGACATGCTCGAATCCGCATCACCAGTTGTGAAAATCTCTGGTGTACGCTCACAAGGATTCGATCTTTTACTCCATTATATGTACACTGGATGTATTGCTATCAACGAAGACAATATCATTGATGTTATCGCCACTGCCAACTACCTACAAGTAGAGCCAGTATTACGAAAATGTGTAGAGTATCTGGAATCAACAATCAACATGGATAATATATTCGAAGTCATGGATATTGCCTATAAATATCACTTGGAATCATTACGAACAAAAGTGTTCGATTTGGTTAGCAGACAATTCATATGCAGAGAAGATGTTGTGCAAAATTTGAATGTGGAGCTGATTCAGTTTGCTGTTAGCCAAGATGTGCCTATTGCAGGCAGGGAGGTTGATGTTTTAAGGGTTGTTTTGGGCTGGTTTCTCACAGGAACAAAAAATGAGTAAGTTATATTAATATGATGAAGTTAAAAGTTAAAAAAATATTTTTATTTATTTTTTAGGATTAAACAAAAAGAAATCTCTGCAAAATCAATTCTACAACACATCCACTTTGAAGAGATATCTTATAAATCATTCGAAAGTTTACTACTTGAATATTTCCCAACTCCAAGCACAAATAATGAAACTCTGAAAGATACACTCTTCGCAATGTATAAATCAGCTCAAAAACTAACATCAACCCCAATTTTATCCGAAGATTCACGTTCTAATCGTGGAATGAAACCTGCCATTATCCGAGTTGGAGGATTCACCGCCCGTGGATTAACCAATGGTGTTAGTTGTTCTTTTATTGACGAGCGACACTGGCGTCCTTTGACGACAATTCCCAGCGTGGCACAGTGTAACTATGGTACTACAGTTCTACACAATCGGTTGTATATTGTCGGCGGATGTTTCAATCAACTGATGCTTGAAGTAGTCCATCCGAGTAGTTACCGCTATGATCCATGGTCAAACACTTGGGAACGTATTGCAACCATCAACGTTGATAGATGTCGGTTTACTCTCACTGCGATGAATGATAAACTGTACGCTGTAGGTGGTGCGACTTTAGACGATTCCGTGACCAGAACGGCTGAATGTTATGATGTGAAGCGCGATAAATGGAAGTTTATCGAATCGCTACCCGAATGTCGCCAGCAACATGCTGCAGTAGCGCTAGAATATGAGGGTAATAATTTATTGTTTGTTTCCGGGGGATTGTTGAATGATACTGTGATAGCGTCCATGTTTATGTATAATGAAAAGACCGGCACGTGGACGAGTTGTGCGCCATTGCTAGCGCCAAGGACTGATCATGTTATGTTTACGTATAAAAATGAGATTTATGTTTGTGGTGGATGGTATACTGAACCGGGGGTTTCGATTTGGAGCAGATGGTTGCGCACACAAGTGCCGACGATTGATGTTTATAATATGCAGACAAATACTTGGCGGCATGTTACGACGGTGCCAAGACCAAGATATCATGAGGATGTGGTGCTACATGGATCAAAATTGTATATGATTGGTGGTTTTCATAGGTGGAATGTTTTCAACAAGCACACTGAGGTGGAATGTTATGATTTTGAGACGGATACGTGGACAAAAGATGTGAAAAATGAGCAGGACTTTTGGGAACATGCTATTGTCCTCATGTCCATTCCTAAATATAGTTAGTAATAGTTTTATTCCCTTTTAAAGTGATTTTAAAAAATTATTTTGATAATAAAACAAAACCGTTGCCAGTATTATAAATTGCCTATCTTTTGAAGAAGTTGTATAGTTGGAAAAGTCGCCACTAGATGTCGCCTTATATACAATTCCTAGCAAAATATTTGCTTATACGGTTTTATTTTGATTCAAAATTAACGACGATTATTATACTCAGCAACGTCAGCCAGTTGATAACGTTCAAATTCGTCGCGTCACATAATTAACCTGTGAATATGTGACGGATGTCGCTGATGTGCCATCAACATCGAATCAGAAGCTTTTGAATTAAAGATAAGATAACACAAGAGGCAAATATGTACAGAAATGATTAACATTATTAGAGGTAATTAATTCAACGAAAACAGTTTTCTATTTGCATGAATCTCATTAAAACTTCATTTTAGATTAATGATCCATGAAAATGGCACTAAGTTATGGTAAAGTGTTTATACAAGGTCAACATAATATTTTAAACTATTATTTGGAGTAGTAATACGGATTACAGTTGTAATTTTAGTTCGAAGATTTTGAATATCTCGAAGGTTACGAAGAATTTGATTTGTTTGATTAGTGGCGCCGCCTGGGAGGCAGTCGTTTGTTTGATACGTTTGGTTGTGCGCGAGCACACAGTGCAGTGCGCATGCGCACTCCATGCGCGCAGTTAACAACTGTCCGCCGTTCCTGTCCGATCAGTGCATGTCTGCCCGTGCGATATTTACATCATCCGCAACTCGCGTGCGGCCGTGCCGTGCATAATCCACCCCCGGAGGAAGAACAGACAATCCGCGCCGTGTGCATTCCGCGATCGCACGCGTTGCGCTTCGCACTTGTTTCGCGTCCGTTGCACGCGTCGCCAAGAATCCGCAACCGGCCCCGCGGGTCTTCTGTGTGAGTGGTGCGCGCGTTAACCCAGAGTGGTGTCTATTGGAATCCCAATTGCGTTCGACGTCGATAGTTGAACGCTCGCGATCGGCGCTTGTTTTTTCGTTTGTTGATTTGGTGCGCGGCGAGGATGAGCCCGCAACGCGCCTGTAACAGTGCATACAGTGTGTCGCCGCAAGTTGTGCACGAGTCTCGGATGTAAATGGAAACAATCGCGACTCGCAGCAGCGCACAACAATATTGTGAACAGCTACAGCAGGAGTTATAACCAAGCCTTCGAACCCCAAGTCATGTCGGGCAGCTTGATGAGCGCCGCCGAGCAGGAGCACAAGTCTCCACGCGAGAGCGGCGAGGACTCTGAGGATGAAAGCGAAATTCTCGAAGAGAGTCCATGTGGACGGTGGTTGAAACGACGTGAAGAGGTAAGTCATCCATATACCTACATTTACAAAGTTTTCCATTCAAAACCTAACCTCAAAAGTTGATTGATGTTGATTGGCTGACTGCGGGTCTCTGTCGGAAGACTGTGGCTGTCTTTCTAACCTAGAAATTCGCGTGAGCTGCGCGGGCCGACATTTTGCGAGAGCGCACGCTCCGCACACCTGACCTGACGTCACGGGATCGATGCGCCGCCGGCCACGTTCAATGTTAGGCGAGTTAGGGACGCGATCGGGCATTTGCCACCGCACATGGCCGGATCCAGCCAATCACATATCTAAACCTAAACAAATGAACAAATAAACAGTCACTCACAGCGGCGCATCCGGTCGCTCGAAATCGATCAATGCACATTCAATGTGCACTTTATTCATTCGTGCTGACTTTATATACAAAGTGTCCCGATAACACGATACACTTTTGTTTTGTGTGTGCATGTGCGTAATGTGCATTCACGCTCATCTTAACATTCCTTCATTCCTCGCGCGGATGTTATTTTTAGATCGGTTTTTAGTATCGACGGCGCTCAAGAATGCAAGAACTATGACCTTAGAAGAGTGCAGCGGCAAGGAGCGCGGCCGGACGGACCGGTTTCGGTGCAGTTTCACAATTTCGCGTTGTTGTGTGGATTTTTTTAGTCTTATTCTCTCAATTCGATGGCGAGTTTTCACTAACTTTTCACTTTTTGTCGAACTCGTTTTTGTTTTGCTTTTATTTTCTTACATGTGTGGACTCTGTTTTTTTCTCATTCGGGTTCATTATTCTTGATGTCGGTTGGTTGCTTTGCTACTAGCCGGACAACTTGGACGACTTTTATTTATAAATCCTCGGCGACGCGAGCATAATTACGTGCTTTATACGACGTTTTACGAGTTTATCTCCGTGCAGCCGTCGGAATGTCGTTTCCGAGCCGGTAAATGCTACTTGAGGTTATCTTCTACTATTATACTGAGTGTGAACAATAATTTCACATTATAAACATGTTAAAATTGACAGCAAAGTTGTTTAAACTATTTTAATGGTCAATTTCATCAATATCTCAATAAATTTGCTTCTTTTTTAAAGCTTTTGTTTAAAAAACGTGACATCTTGGTACATAAATAACTACTATCAACATAAAGACCTATTAAAGTGACGTTTATATCTTGTTGATGTGTATTTTTATTGACTTCTTATTTCTCTTGTTTTGACACACAAATTTTCGTCGGTTTACACGAGAGAAAAAAAAAACGTGTTTGGGAACTTTTCCTATATTCTTCCGAAAAGTTGAAAAGTTTTCCGCATGACGTGGATAAATGGAAAATTGCTATGTTCCATAGAAGAGTTTCGAGTATATAAAAAAGTAGGTATGACTTGGCATTCTTGGCAAAGCCTCCTCCGGTGGTAGTTACGTGATCGCTCCGGAACACGACCGGAACGTGGCGATTTTTTTCCCGTTTCGGTCGCGCTCGCCATTACCATTGCGGGTAAGAAAAGTGCTATTGATTTTCCCGCGGCGTACACGGGGCGGCCTCCTCCATAGTCGCGCACGAAAACGCGACACAACATGCACATTAAATCGGCGTGCGAGCGAGCGTGGTGCGCGAGTAATCGCCAATCTGAAAGTCTAAGCAACAAGCTTCGTTTTCAAGAGCGGGATGGAAAATTAGCGAATTACATTTGCATTTTGGCCATGAAAACAAACAGTCGGCGGGCTTGTGTAACATGCGAACGTAAAATTTGACTAGATTACATCATGCAAATAGACATAGGTAAATAAAGTCTGGAGTGATTAAGCATTTTTTTACATTTTTAATATTTTAGGGAGATTAGGGTCAATTGTTAACTATTTGTTTGTTGGTAGAGCGTCGTGAATGTGTGTGTGTGTTTTTTTTATTAATTCATTAATTATTGAGAGTAATTTGCGCTATATTATTGATTATTCTATACTTAGGTGTATTCTTACATAAATTATTTATTAAATTACTCACAAATTTTGTTATTTTGTTTCTTATCGCTGAGTTTATCAAGATTTAAAGTTTTGTTTTGGAAAATTATTAAAAATTGTGTGTAATTTCTGATCAAAAGCTGTTATCAATCAGATTTTAATGTGGTTATTTCTCAAATTTATATAAATCTAATGTTTGAATGGATTATTATCATAAGTTGATTGATTTTTGAGTGATTAATTAGTCATTTTATCAAACTGCAATTTTTGTCTGCTGCTTGGCCGTGATTATTTGATAATCTAATGATTCTGTCGAAAAATATTTGCGATATCGTAATTATTCATTTACAAATAGATTGAGAATTAAATTCTACATTTGCCACTGCAAAATTTGCTTTATCTGATTGTTGTATCAAAAGTTATAAACAATTAAAGTAGTATTTTGTACAAATTCCTATTACTCACAAAAAAATACCAGTAACTATTAATATTGCTTTGTTATCAATAAAATTTAAACGTGGTTATATTCAGAATTTAATTCATAATATAAATCCGTCGAAATTTTCAATTTATTTTTATTAGTTTTTCAGTTATAAACAAAAGTCTATTGGTATTATTCTCACGCTACGTGAGTGCCCGACAATATCTTTCAATCGTCCTTATAATTTAGTAAAGCCGTTTATTTTTAGTTTTCTCTTATTGCCATAGTTTGTATTATGAAACGCAACGTGTTGGTTCACTCAGATTGTGCTCGTGGTTGTTAGCTATCCCTATAATTTTAATATAGGCTAGGTCAAGTTTAAATTGCCCTGATTCTCGGCGCGATCAATAAAAATACAATTGCTGCAATGCCTCTATTTCTATGAAAAGCGACGCAGTATAGTACACACATGAAAACAAACTACAGACCCCGACAGAAAGATTGCATGTCGCAAATGTCCAGTAATTGCAGCTGCAACTACGCAATTACGCTTTCAATAACAATTCGGGTTTGAGCTACAAACCCGTCGAATGCTGAATTATCGATTAACAGAGATGCAGTTGTGTGTTACAAGTATTTGATATTCAAGCAGTCTATCTCAAGTTGTGACAATGTCTGCCGGTTCTAAAATAATTCGAAAATATTAGTAAATTTAGATTAAAATGATTTATCTCTGCTTTGTGCGTGCATCCATGCGTGCATTATGTTTGTATATTGTACACATAATGCTAGCTATTGTAATTTGTAATTTGTGCGGGTTTAAATATAGAAATTCACTTGAATAATGTCAGACAAATGTTATGTTGGTGCTGTGCATTTGAATGCGTGATAAATATCAGGACGAGATAAATGTCCAAGCGGTAAAGTACGAAAATACTGCAGAAAACGTAGGTAAATCACGGTGGTTTGCTTTTTCTCTTCTTGGCACACAGCTATCTGGAAATAATCATCACATTACATGTACGCGCAGTCAAAATAATTCTGCATGCGATGACTTATGAAGACGTCTCTCGTCGGCTGACACACTTTACGCACCGTAATTTATTAATGCGTGAACTAATTACTAATTTTGCGTCTTGCACATTTACAGCTCGCAAAAGTAGTATTCTTGGAAATTGTGTTCTGATCTAGTTTAGAGTTTTGCTAGATTTTACGCTTGTGAAACTTTTGACAGTTCAGTTCTGGAGTAGAAGTTGTAAATGTATTCCGATCGATCACGTTCGTGCTGCGCATGGTAATAGTGTGAGTAATAGTGCAGTTACTTAACCGCCGAATGTGACAGCAGACAGTAGAAAAGTGCTCGAAGCGGTCGTC